AGTTAAAGGATTTTAAATCAGCCTAATTCGTTATATTGTTATAATAATAACTTTTTGTTATAAAATTAAAATCATGCTAAAACACCATATTGATCAATAATTAAGAATAATATGAGAAAACCCAGTATAATTTAGTTGTTAGCGAAGTTTGCTCCACCATTACCTCAGATACTAACTACCTAGTAAACTGACATTGCAACTGGACATCACTGGGCATATTCTAAATAGGTTTATGGGAATTGCAAGTACTAATCTGTAGGGAACTAATGGGACTGCAGGTCCTGTAGGCACCTGTTTAATGAAGGTCTAGAACAGGGGTCCTCAAACTAAGGCACAAGGGCCGAATACGGCCCTCCAAGGTCATTTACCCGGCCCTCGCTCAGGGTCAACCTAAGTGTGAAATGGCTTGAAAGCACACAACAGCAACAACAATCCTATCTCATTAGCCAAATACAGGCCCACACTTCCCATTGAAATACTAATAAGTTTATATTTGTTAAAATTGTTCTTCATTTTAATTATTGTATTATTTTAAGTGTTTATTGCACTACAAATAAGGTTTGTGCATTGTGCATAGGAATTCATTCATATTTTTTTCAAATTATAATCTGGCCCTGCAACAGTTTGAGGGACTGTGACCTGGCCCTCTGTTTAAAAAATTTGAGGACCCCTGGTCTAGATCAATGACAGCAGTACCACTTTCAGGAATGTAGTTAACTGCTGTCAAGTTGACTTTGAACCTGAGCCTTGCGAAGATCTTGCAAACTCATAGCCATGGCTTCCTAGATGGAGTGCATCCACCTATAATGTTGTCTTCCTCTTTTCCTACCATGTTTTACCTTAACAATCATTATCATATTATCTACTGAGTCATGTGATGCCCTTATATACTTAAAATATGCCAGCCTCAGTTTAGTAATTTTGGTTTCTAGGGAGAATTTAGCCTTGATTTGCTCTTGAGGCCATTTACTTGTCTTTTGACACTCCATAGTATCCTTAGAACTCTCATCCAGTACAGAACAAATAAGTTCTCTTCCCACCACCTATCACACATATACAAATGAATCAGAAATACTATGGCATGCAAGTTCCTGACTTTGGGGTTTAGTGATATTCAGTGGCATTTTGGTATTCAAGGAGGACTCTGGGAATGGAACCAATTGCCTAGAGAGGTGAAATCTGCTTCTCTGAATGTTTGTTTTTTTAAAAAAAAAAAAAAAAGAGGTGATGCGAATGCACTGATATTGTATTGAGAGAATGAGGGTTGAACCCCACAGGGCCTCTTCCAACTCCCAAAAGGGGCATGCAGTCCAACCCTGCCTTGAAGGAATACACAATCAAAGCCCTACCTACAGATGGTCGTCTAGTTTGTTTTAAGATTTTCAAAGAAGACTCCACCACAATGCAAGGAAAAATATTCCACTGTAAAAGAAACTCCTACCATGAGGACGTTTTTCCTAATATTTAGATGGAATTTAAATATTTTCTCCAGGTTGACTCCATTATTCCCTGTTCTAGCCTCTGCAGCAGCAGAAAAAAAAACTTGTTTCCTGGTCAATATGAAATACTGAAACATGGTTATCATGTCACCTCTTAATCTTCTTCTCTTCAAATTAAACATACCTAGCTCCTTACGCCGCTTCTCACTGAGCATGGTTCCTTTTTAAACATTTTGTCCGCCTTCCACTGAACAGCTTTTCAATAACTTTCCTAAATTGTGGTACACACAACTAGGCAACATTCCAGGTGAGGTCTGGATAGAGCAGTACTGTTACTTTCCTCAATCTACACTATCATCCTATTGATGCTGCCTCTTTTAGTTGTCACATCACACACTGTTGACTCATGTTGAGTATGTAGACTACGAAGGGCCCTTCCACACAGCCATATAACCCAGAATATCAAGGCAGAAAATCTCACATTTTCTGCTTTGAATTTGAATATATGGCAGTGTGAACACAGATAACCCAGTTCAAAGCAGATATTGTGGGATTTTCTGCCTTGATATTCTGGGTTATATGGCTGTGTGGACGCTTTCACATATACTGTCTAGAACACTATGATTCTATTTATCTTTATAGAGATCCAGTGTAATGTAGTGGCTGAACTATGACTCCAGAGTTCAAATCCCTGTTGGACTATAGAAAACCACTAGATGACCTTTTATCATGATAATTTTTTACAGATATTTTATAGAGGAGGGGGGAAATCAGTATTTAAAATGTTCCTGTAGTAAGTCAAAAAGAAAAAAAACCTGCTCATCAGGAAATTCATTCCATTATCTTCCATTACCTATTCTGGACTTGGCAACATTCAGAAGTGCAATGTAAAGGTGTTTGCAGATGTTACACAGAAACACTATTATTCCCTGGGGCTTCCCAGTCACCAGCTATTAAGGTTCACAAAAAATAGCCTTTGCAAGCATTTGTAATTAAAGCTGTAGACTCTGAAAAGGAACTCACCCCCAACATTTTAATAATTTTCTAAACTGTGTAACGATACCTTCTTTAAAATATGAAGTCACTATACTGGATCCATGCATCACTCCACAACCTTAAAACAATTAAGACCTCCCCAGCACTAATTTCCTCTTCATTCTACTAACATATCAGATTATACTGAAAAGAGCATAAACAATCCTTAACCTAAATTGCTCCCAGATAACAAATATTCCTTGAAACTGTACAATCCTGATTAACCAAACAAGTACAAAACAAATTGAGAGTTTGGGTGTACAGAGTTTAAATTGACTTCCTTGCAAATTATATGGCCAATGTTTGCTATTTTTTCTGGGAGCCAATGAGAAAACCTATGTGCGCATACTCGATCCAGTCCAACCCCCTGCCAAGAAGCAGGAAAATCGCATTCAAAGCACCCCCGACAGATGGCCATCCAGCCTCTGCTTAAAAGCCTCCAAAGAAGGAGCCTCCACCACACTCTGGGGCAGAGTGGATAGCTCTCACAGTCAGGAAGTTCCTCCTAATGTTCAAGTGGAATCTCCTTTCCTGTAGTTCACTAGTTTCTAATCTTTGGGCCTCCAGGTGTTTTGGACTTCAACTCCCAGAAATCCCAACCAGCTTACCAGCTGTTAAGAACTGTGGGAGCTGGAATCCAAAATATCTGGAGGCCCAAAGGTTGGGAACCACTGCTGTAGTTTGAAGCCATTATTCCGCATCCTAGCCTCCAGGGCAGCCTGCTCTCTCCTCCCTATGACTATGACCAGTATTAAACTTAAGGAGGGAATCTAAAAGGCAGTGGCATCAATAGGACATTACAGGTGAAACAGACCACAGAAGGTGATACCAAAGAGGGAGGGTGACAGCAAAATGTCTATAACCTCTTTGTGTTTTACGGCATAAAAGTCTGAGTGTTTGGATTATGATTCTGGAGACCAGGATCATAACGTCGTCTATGCGCATTCAGAAGAAGACCTACAAGCCACACTAAACACCTTCACAGAAGCTTATGAGAAGCTTGGCCTGTCATTAAACATTGAGAAAACCAAAGTGCTGTTCCAGCAGTCACCAGCCAATCCCTCTCCAATGCCAGAAATACAACTTAATGGCGTAACATTAGAAAATGTTGACCATTTCCGCTACCTTGGCAGCCTCCTCTCACAAAAGTCAACATGGACACCAAAATACAACACCACCTGAGCTCTGCGAGTGCAGCATTTTTCCGAATGAAGAAGAGAATGTTTGAGGACCGGGACATACGTAGGGATACCAAAGTGCTTGTTTATAAAGCTATTGTCCTCCCAACCCTGCTATACGCCTGCGAGACATGGACTGTCTACAGATGTCACATGTAACCCCTGGAACGATTCCATCAGCGCTGCCTCCGAAAAATCCTGCAAATCTCATGGGAAGACAAGCGGACAAATGTCAGCGTGCTGGAAGAAGCAAAGACCACCAGTACTGAAGCGATGGTCCTCCGCCATCAACTCTGCTGGACTGGCCACGTTGTCTGGTTGCCTGACCACCATCTCCCAAAGCAGTTGCTCTATTCCGAACTCAAAAACGGAAAACAGAATGATGGTGGACAGGAAAAGAGATTTAAAGATGGGCTCAAAGCGAACCTTAAAAACTCTGGCATAAACACTGAGACTTGGGAAGCCCTGGCCCTTGAGCGCTCCAACTGGAGGTCAGCTGTGACCAGCAGTGCTGTAGAATTTGAAGAGGCACGAATGGAGGGCGAAAGAGAGAAACATGCCAAGAGGAAGGAATGGTCAAGCCAACTCTCACTGCAGGAGAAGATGCAGATCAAGAATAGGGGTCCACAGTCACCTACGGACCCACCGCCAGGACACTACACTTGGAGGACCATCATCCTCGGACTACGAGGGATCGCCTAACTCAGTGATTCTCAACCTGTGGGTCCCCAGATGTTTTTGGCCTTCAACTCCCAGAAATCCTAACAGCTGGTAAACTGACTAGGATTTCTGGGAGTTGTGGGCCATAAACATCTGGGGACCCACAGGCCCTAACTGAACCGCCTAACTGTATCCACTCTACAGAGTTAGAGCAGTTTAACACTGCATTCACTTCAGTGGTTCATCCCTGTGGAGTCCTGAAATCTGTAGTATTGTGAGATGTTTACCTTTTCCTGTCAGAGAGCTTTGGTGCCAGAATAAACTACAAACCCCATGATGCGTTACAATGGAGAGTGCAACAGATAAAGCGAGATGGGACTGCTGTAATTCCGCAATGTGGTGCATCCACGACCAGGCATGAGCCCTCCAGGTGTTTTGGACTTCAACTCCCACCATGCCTAACAGCCTCAGGCCCTTTCCTTTCCCCCCTCAGTCCGCTTAAGCGGCTGAGGGGGGAAAGGAAAGGGCCTGAGGCTGTTAGGAATGGTGGGAGTTGAAGTCCAAAACACCTGGAGGGCCCAAGTTGGCCCAGTCCTGTGGCCTCTCCCCGCCCTCTCCTCCTCCTCCTCGCTTCTAGGCCGCGCATCCCCGGGCTTTCCCAGCCGCCCCTTCCGGCTTGGGCGCTTACAGGTCGGCACCGCGGGCGTTGAAGCCGGCGTTGAGGGCGGCGCGGGCGAGGCGCCTCCAGAGCGCGTCCTTGGCGGCGAAGCGGCGGAGGCGGTGGCAGGCCTGGCCCAGGCGGCCCAAGTCCCGCGCGTCCAAGTAGGCGCAGACCAGCAGCAGCAGCTCCTCCGGCAGTGACCACAGCGGGCAGCGCCCCTCGGCCTGGTCCTCGGGTGGGCTCCCCGCCCGGCCCATCGCCCGCGCTCCTCAGCCCGCGCCTCCCCCCACCCGGGCCCGGCCGCCACTGCAACTCCAGCCCGGAGTCGCCGCCGCCATTAGGCCCGGGTAGGCCGTTCTCCCCGCCGGTCACATGGGGCGTCCTGCCCTCGGAAAGGAATTCACTGGCGACGAGGAGAAGAGGCTGGAAGCGGCTTTGGGGTGCCTCCACGGTAGAATTAACGCAGTTTGGCACCACTTTTGAACTGCCATGGCTCAGTGCTGTACTTTCACAAAGTCTTTCCCCTTCTCTGCTATATAGCCTGACAGCTTCAAAGCCTGGCTTCATTGGAAACAGTGTATTCTTCTTTCATACATACATACCTACATACATATATATGTGTGTCTGTGTGTGTGTGTCTTCCAGTATGCTGATGACAACGTGCGCATTCAGAAGAAGATCTACAAGCCACTCTAAACACCTTTGCAGAACCATACGAGAAGCTCGGCCTGTCACTGAACATTGAAAAAACCAAGGTGCTGTTCCAGCAGTCACCAGCCAATCCCTCTCCAATGCCAGAGATACAGCTTAATGGTGTAACATTAGAAAATGTTGACCATTTCCGCTACCTTGGCAGCCACCTCTCCACCAAAGTCAACCTCGACACCGAAATACAACACCGCCTGAGCTCTGCAAGTGCAGCATTTTCCCGAATGAAGCAGAGAGTGTTTGAGGACCGGAACATCCGTAGGGATACCAAGGTGCTTGTATAAAGCTATTGTCCTCCCAACCCTGCTATATGCCTGTGAGACGTGGACTGTCTACAGACGTCACATGCAACTCCTGGAACGATTCCATCAGCGCTGCCTCCGGAAAATCCTGCAAATCTCTTGGGAAGACAAGCGGACAAACGTCAGCGTGCTGGAAGAAGCAAAGACCACCAGCATTGAAGCGATGGTCCTCCGCCACCAACTCCGCTGGACCAGCCACGTTGTCCGGATGCCCGACCACCGTCTCCCAAAGCAGTTGCTCTACTCCGATCTAAAGAACGGAAAACGGAATGTTGGTTGACAGGAAAAGAGATTTAAAGACGGGCTCAAAGCCAACCTTCAAAACTCTGGCATAGACACTGAGAAGCCCTGGCCCTTGAGCACTCCAGCTGGAGGTCAGCTGTGACCAGCAGTGCTGCAGAATTTGAAGAGGCACGAATGGAGGGCAAAAGAGCCAAACGTGCCAAGAGGAAGGCGCATCAAGCCAATCCCGATGGAGACCGCCTTCCACCTGGAAACCAATGCCCTCACTGCGGAAGAAGATCCAGATCAAGAATAAGGCTCCACAGCAACCTACAGACTGCAAGAAGTTTTCTGTTTATCCCAGATTATCTGGCAGCGCAGACTCATATAATCTGGTTTAAAGCAGAAAACCTGGGATTGGATCCTGGGATATAGGGCTTGCCTGGAAGGGACCTAATTCTAAATTTGAGGGTGGGGCCAGGTAAATGATCTTAGAGGGCCATATCTGGTCTGTGGGCCTTCGTTTGGGGACATTTGATGTAGGTGCACTCATCCTTTCAAGCCCAGTGTTAAGGAAATAGGCTGAGGTTGATAATTTTCATCCCAAAAGGTAGCACTAGAAAATATCTTTCCCAAACATTATTTCACTATATGGGGATTACAAGACAAGTGTGTCTCTCCAAAGTGTATGCAAGAGGATCTTGTAGCATCTCAAGATCTTCTTGGGTACACTAACAAGGAATTAAGGTGGCTTAATAATAAATATACAAAACAGAATATATATATATGAGGGAAGTGAACAGAAATGAATGCGCACAAATCGTATAGTGTCGATCACTGTCTAGGAGTGCGGCAACAGCATTCACTTCCGCTTCACTGACACTAGGATGACCTGGTCATCCTTTGTCGAAGGCTTTTACCCACCTTGCCATTGTTCTATAAGGCATTGTAGATTCCCCACAAGCCTCTTGAAGACCTTGATGACACTGTCATGCTGTACGACCTCTGGCACTTTCAGACTTTATCCAACTCCATTGTTCTTTTTTCGAAAACATTGTGACAACATTTACTTTAGACCACAAGCTAATACAAAGCTCAGTTCTTTGCGTCACTCCGTGTGCCCATGATGTAGGAAGGGCGAGTCTTTTTGCTCAGAGTTAACATAGGTATGTAACTAACATGTGGTATACGCACCATTATTTGGTTTCATTGTGTGGCGTCTTTACATTAGTGTTGCCACTATTAAAGTTCCAACCCTCGTATCAAAACACAAGGTACAAAGATCAATCTACAGCTGTAATGCAATGCAAACCTAAACTCATGGTTCCAAGTTGACTGGTAGACCTCCTGGAAGAGTTGGGTCATCAGTTGTGTCTTAAATTCGGACACCTCATTTAGTTGTTGAATCTCTTCAGGCAGGTCATTCCAGTCTTGAGGTGGCCGATGAAAAGGCCTTCTGGGTGATGGTCACCAGTTGGGTTTTGGCTGGTTGGAGTAGCCACTCCCTCAAAGACCTCAGTGTCCTAAGAGATGAATTGTGCAGAAGAAGGCAGTCCTGTAGGTCATCATAGACTATACCTCATGGCCATGTTGGTGGGTCTTTAAGTGACAGTAGAGACCTATTCTGGATCTGCATGGTCTTTGCAGTGATGAAATACATTTCCACATGGAAGGTGATCCTGACAAGGGTTTTCTTGGCGTGCCTTCCTCTTGGCACATTTCTCTCTTTCGCCTTCAGTTTCGCCCACAGCACTGTTGGTAACAGATAACCTCCAGTTGCCACACTCGAGGGCCAGGACTTTTCAGTTCTTGGTGTTTACACCACACTTCTTAAGGATGCTTTAAGCCCATCTTCAAATCTCTTTTCCTGTTCACCTACATTCCATTTTCCATTCTTCAGCTGAGAGTAAAAAAAACTGCTTGAGGAGACAATGATTGGGCATTCAAACAATGTAACCAATCCAGTGAAGTTGATGGTTGAGGATCATCACTTCAATGCTGGTGGTCTTTGCTTCTTCCAGAACGCTGATGATGGTCCACCTGTCTTCCCAAGAGACTGGCAGGATTTTTTTGAAGACAACGCTGATGGAATCATTCCAGAAGTTGAGAATGACGTTTGTAGATGGTCCATGTTTTATAGGCACACAACAGAGTTGGGAGAACAGTAGCTTTATAAGCAAGCTAATGCCCCAATCCTCAAACACCTCTCCACAAAAGTTGGTATCAACCCCAAAATATAACACCATCTAAGCTATGTGAGTGCAACATTTTTTAATAATTCTGCTTTCCTAGGATGCATCTACACTGTAGAATTAATGCAATCTGACACCACTAACTGCCATGACTCAGTGCTATGGAATCATGTTACAGCACTGAGTCAAAGGCCAAAGCAAAGGTAGGTAACAAGTGTAATTCTTACCAGTTTGTTTATTTTCCCACTAAGGATAGTCCAGTTATGTGTCTGTCTACTCATATGTAAGTCTGAGAGCTCATTTACAAGAAACAACCCCTGGACTTGAATAGTGTCCAAGAGTGCACACTGCAGAAGTAATGCACTTTGACACCACTTTCACTGGTGTGTCTCAATGCTGTGGAATCCTGGATTTATAGTTTGGTGATGGAAAATTAGACTCAGAATATGGAAGTGTGAAAATTGGAGGAAAGAACACCAACTATTTAAGCTTTATAAATGGCACCATACGACTAACAGAAAATAGCCAGGGCTTAGAATGATTCCTGACAAAAGTCAAATAATGCAAAGGTAGGTTGAGAGCTGAACATGAAGAAAACAAAAATAATGGCCACAGATGATTTATCTAAATTAGTGGTTCTCAACCTGTGGGACCTCAGGTGTTTTGGCCTACAACTCCCAGAAATCCCAGCCAGTTTACCAGCTGTTAGGATTTCTGGGAGTTGAAGGCCAAAACATCTGGGGATCCACAGGTTGAGAACCACTGATCTAAATTTAAAGCAGTTGAGCAAGAGGTTGCAATAATTTGAGATTTTCCATATTTTAGCTGGGTTACTTAAGAAAATGGTAACTGCAGTCAAAAATCAAAATAAGCCTAGGACTATGATCCTGAAATGTAAAGATATAGAATATTAAAGTCAGGATTTTTCATGCTATTGTTTTGTGTATGTTTGTGAAACTGTACAGTGAGGAAATCTGATGGGAAGAAAATGAACATATTTGAAATTGTGATGCTAAAAAGATTTTGATGCATAACCTGGACTACTAAAAAGACAAATCAATGAGTCCTTGGTTAAATTAGTCTGAACACTTCTAGGAGCCAGGATGATGAAACCGAGACTGTCATACTTTGGTCATATGATTAGAGGAAATCACTCACAAGAAAACATCATGATGTTTGGTAAAAGAGAAGGCAGCAGGAAAAGAGGAAGACTGCATTACAGGATATACTCAATTGGGAGCCATGGGCACAAGACCTAAGCAGGGTGACTTGGTCTTTTGCTCATATGATTGCCATAAGTCAAAGTTAACACAACAGTACTTAACAATAACAGCTCCATCTCATAAGACTCAACAAGACTACAACCAAAACTCATCAGTACATTTTAGTTATTTATTATTTATTTACTTCACTTTTATACCACTTTTCTCACCCCAGCATGGGACTCAAAGCAGTTCCCAACACAATTACGGCAAAATTCAGTGCCTCACCCACAGAAACCTAACATAACGATAACAAACAATTATCAATTAAATCATAAAGCATGACATCATTTAACATTAAAACTTGGAATTAAAAACATATCAATATAAACAATTAAAATCACACAATCCAACAACTGTAGTCCAAGTCGTTCCAAATATCATATCTATTGCACATATTCCATGATCATTTCTTGTACTGCTCACTGCCCAAAGGCTTGGTCCCACAGCCAAGCCTTTACCCTTTTTCTGAAGGCTAGGAGGGAGGGTGCTGATCTAATTTTGTTGGAGAGGGAGTTCCATAGCTGAGGGGCCACCACTGAGAACACCCTGTCTCTTGTCTCCACCATTCACATTTGTGAAGGAGGTAGGACCGAGACCATCAGTGCCTATTTTATTGGATAGTCTGATTTGGCAGATTACAAGAAACCACAAAGAAGACAAGTCCACAGTTCCATTTAGTAGATTTT